CTCGACCAGGATTTTCGTTATAGAATGCGTCTCACCAAAAACTGACCCACATTTGGATGGATCAGCGTCAAGACCAACACAACTGATCAGCTTTTTTTCTGAAACAAATAATGTCATAAAATCTGTTTTTTATAATGTCGGCATCTAATAGATTTCAGGTCAACTTACCTTCTGACATTAATTTCTTCCTTTTTGGTGCAATTCCTGAATCATTCGATGGTTTACGTCTCTTTCGTTTGCCTATAGTCGCATTCTCGTTATCTGTGATTAAATGAATCTCGTTATAAAGTTTATAAAATTATTGGATTGGTTTTCTAAAAAAACTTACCTTTGTCTACTGAACAATTCTTTTTTTTATTATCTACAACCGATTTTGTTTCTATGGAAATCTTAGAACCTGCCCAGACATTATTGAAATCAATTTATTATTATAATGACATTGATATAAAAAGATGAAATAAAATATAAATAAAAATAAATCGAGTATTTAAATTCATTTTTTAGAGTTCTGACCCATTAATAATTTCTTACCTGAAACATGGTGTGCCTGATTAATCGGAAGTTCGTTAGTGACAGACTCGTGCGACGGACATTGACAATAGCTGATTCCAGACTTCTTCAGAACATCTTTACGACGATTTTTCTTCGTTCCAGAAGTGTGATAAAATCCATCTTTGTAATTGAAGTAACGGAGGCGTGCTCCAGTTGCTAAACCCTCCGTTACTTCCTGAAGAAGCAACTGGTACTTTTTCTTCGACTTCTTTGCTATTTGTTCAGCTACTTGTTCGGCGGTTGAGGGCACTTTCAACTGACGAAGGGCTTTTAGTAGGGTGTTTCCAAATATGACCATATTTAGTTTGTTAGTTTAATTAAAGAATTTTCACAGACAGATTTTTGGTAACTATTTCGAATATATTTTGTTTTAAATGGAAATGAAAAAATGACAAACGCATCAAATTTAACCTAACATCAATGCCAACTACTACAAATTCAAGTTCCTTCAATGAAAAAAGATTAATTAAAATACTTATAAAAGTGATAAAAATATTCGCTGGATTACACCGACTGGAGCGCAGATCAATATTCTCTTGTCGTTTTGGAATAAAAACTCAAATTAGAAATGAGGAAGTTTCTTAACATCAACTTGGTTGATCTTGAGATTCTGATGGATAGAGAAAATGCAGTTTTGAAATATTTTCTTTATCCACTACAAAATTAGGGTGGGGATCTAACCATGACAATATTTTACTAAACCCACAACAAAAGTAAGTTCACTGCGAAGTTTATAAAATGAGCAAACCATTTAGATTTTTAGTTAAATGATGTCTGACAATGACACCACAAAATTGATTCTATCTCCAGCCTAACATAATCGTGATTGAAATATAAGAATCTTGAATATAAGAATCTCACAGATGATCACGGTGTTCAACGATTTTCAGCAGGGCACATTCATTCATTTTGCAAACATCAACAGAGGAAACCAATTATAATACGCATAACATTAAGATCTGACTTTCCAACCTGAAGTACAGTTCGGAATATTTGGTGATCATTTACAGCTCTTCCAGCTTTACGAAAGGAACAGGTAAGAATGGAGCACATCTTTGACACATCCATTTATTAACGGTTTTCTTTGCCACTAAAGTAAAATGAGATTGACTTCATAATATTGACTACACATTCTGGTACCACTAATCGCATAAAGCCATCCAAAAAAACGTTGCGGCAGAATGGGTGAAGTGGTCAGTGTTGATAATGTGGTGTACTAATAATTGATTTTGCGCCAAATGAATAAATTGATTTGATCTTTCGTGTTATTAAAATGATTAGGGCCTGTATTGATATCGGCTATCTATTTTCAAGATAGGAACTATTATCCGCTTTTTCTGCGTACAATAAAGACTATGGTGTCTGTTAATCAGTGCTCAAGTGGCATCAATTATCCAGGTCATGCGTTATTTATTTAATATACGCAACAAATTGTTCTAATAACTAATAAGTTACATATCTGCTTGATCTCATCCCAGACTTTTTATGGGCACGTAGAATTTAATTGGTTATGGGCTTTAATCCTCATTGGCCTACTGCTATCACTAAGTCATCATCGCTGAAACAGCTGGTAGCGCGGAATCACTTTACACCAACAATGTGTTTGATTTTGGTACGTATTTTCGAAGTTTGCCAAATGTGTTTATGAATATCGAGATGTAGCAATCACTTACCATGAATGGGTCCGTTCTTCTGTCAGCATATCGTTCTCTTAGAATAGCTTGTGATGTGGTTTGTTTCTGCCAATTTAAGCAGAAAAATCTCCTAACAAAAGCAGTAGATCTCGATTAAACGGTCTTTGTAATCATCGTTAGCATCCTGCATAGGTGCTTAGCACTGAAAGAGTCTATAATTATGAAATGTGCATCGAAAATTGATAACTAATTATCATATCAAGTGCTGAGGAAGAATCTCAAACTGTGAATACCTAGCGTTCATCATCTCAAACAGGCCTACAGCCTTCAAACTGTAAACATCTCATGAATTATTAGTCGAATCCAAATTTGGAACTGCTGGAATGAATTTCGCTTTCACAAATGAAATGATTTTGGTTTTTATTGATGATGAAAAGGTGAAAGTAGGGTTCACATTGCCGAAATCATCAGTTCTACAACTGTGCGGTTCGTGAAAAATAGAAAGCTATAGCTCCCAAACTGTGTTATTTGATGTCTGATTAGTAAAGACAACAACCGCAGTTTTGAAAGTGTTGTGTATTAAACACTGTTTCTTGCTTGAGAACTGTTTAGTCCGACGTGTTCAACAGTATTCGCTGAGTGTTTTCCAGACGGGCACATTGTATTCGAGCAAACATCAGAAGACGTGTTGTGTGCACAATACGGAAATGCGAGTGTTTGAGATGTTAACCCAGAATTTGCTTCCACAGTTTGTCAAAAAGGTTTGTGCAGTGGCTACCAGTAACTAACAAACTTCAACAAATCCTTCCGAACGAGTGATATATGTCGGTCGGAGTATCAATTTGGTCAACGTATCAATTGGTTTGTCTACTTCAATTTCTATCTCAATTTCAGGGGCAGAATAGAACGTGACTGGGAAGCTAATATCGCAACATTCAATTGGAGGAATGCACAGTTATTCGCTGAACTTTCCTGAGAATAACATTTCTTACATTTATAGTAGTAGTAATTTACACATTTATGTGGAATTACTAATGTCTTGAATCGCAGAAGATATCATTAAAAATGCAACAAATGGACATATATCTAACATCAGTGTGATCTGTCGATATTATCGGGGGAATTATTTGTTATCAAATTGCGTCGAAGAAACACGTCCAATCGTGCCCACTCAGTGTTTCTCGATAGCTTTCCAATCGATGAGTTAATTTTGTGAAGACATCATCAGTTTAACATCCACTTCAGTGAACACAAATCAAAAAATAATATATTTTCGATAGTTAGGAATTCCTAAAACATCAGTTCGAGAGTCCTTTATAATTGTATTAGGCCTCATAGGAGCCAGGACTAGATACGTAAATACTTGATGAGCTCAACAAGATGTCTACTTAACTTGTTGAGACTAGATCAGAGATTGACTAATAGAATATGTCTAGTAGTTTCTTATGGAAATTAGTGTTAAATATTTTTTTACATGATTTAACTGAGGCAAAGGAAAGAAAAGAAGAGACGAAACCAAACAATCGACGAAAAGTGACATCTTGTTTATGATTCTGAATGCTTCTTAAATAAATTTAAGTACAATATGAGAGACGGTTGCATCTGAGCTGTTGATTATTTCATCCATATTTAAGATGTGTACGGTATAATTCCAATGCGTATTTGAAGCTTACAGTTGCAGTGATTTTTTAACAGGGAGAGAAAACGGACTTGATAAGATAAGGCGCATTCTCGGAAGATCAATAGAATTTATTCTCTAAATGGCGCGCATATATGTAGTTTACTGTGCGACGATTTTTCTTTATTCCAGAAGTGTGATAAAATCCATCTTTGTAATTGAAGTAACGGACGCGTGCTCCAGTTGCCAAACCCTCCCTTACTTCCTGAAGCAACTGGTATTTTTTTTCGACTTCTTTGCTATTTGTTCAGCTACTTGTTCGGCGGTTGAGGGCACTTTCAACTGACGAAGGGCATTTAGTAGGGTGTATCCCGATAGGACCATATCTTATTTGTTCCTTTAATTAAAGAATTTTCACAGACAGATTTTTGGTAACTATCCGATTATATTTTGTTTTAAATGAAAATGAGAAAAACACCAATGACAACTACTACAAATTTAAGTTCATTCAATGAAAAAAGACTAAATAAAAAATTTATTAAAATTGAATAGATATTATGAGTTTATATGATTACTTCTGATGTGCGAAGAATTTAGAATTTGTATGTCACCGTCCATTGAAATAATCCCAAGCTTTGGTTTACAAGTGTTGTTTATTAGAGACTCACAAATATATCAAATCACAATGAAATGAATTAAATCATCGCAGAAGATGAGGCAGATAATCACATTATTTCTTATAGTTTTCATATTGTATCGACAATCTACTAAATGGCCTATAGTAGACATGAGGACTAAAGCTGACAAAAAATGAGCAGAGCGATCAAAGATACAATGCTTGGCTAACTTTGAAGACGTCATCGATTATATTGAAAAGGCAATAATCATGAATAGCTTGTATTATATGATGTTAATACTCAACGAAATAACCTAGTGGTCTCGGATAATGGATAAGAAAATGTCTTTCTAGCATAATGATATTAATTCAAGAAGTGTCTTCATAATAACAAGTTGACAGTATTGGAACTTTTCAATACTTACTGATTCTTATGTATAACTTTTGATCGCTCTTTGTTTTTTCTAGTCACTATGAATA